GTAAAACATCAATATCTAGTGTGGGAATATCTAAATTGACTTCAGTCTTATTAGAATTAATAATATTTACTATACAGGAGTTATTGAAAGTAGAAACTAAAGTATATGCCACGAATACTCCTTGACTAAGCTCTTGTTTCTTTATAATTCCGTATTGACATTCGTCTTTACTTTTACTACCGATTCGGATCTAGGGTTCAATTTAATTCCTGACGGAGCATGTAGCAAAGGGAATGTCTGAAGGTTCTTAAAATTTAATGTTGATTTTATAATGTTAATGTTACCCCTATAAATTCTTAAGAAATCTATACCAAGTATACCGTCACCTTTGATCGGTATCTCATCATTAATAATGTTGACGTCATTCGTAACTATTTTATCACCTAACCTTATTTTCAAGCTAGCCTCGCCTATTGTTTCTAAAGTGCTACCTGAGACACTAGTAATCCTAATCTTATTATTTAAATTGTCCTTGATGTCTACATCATCATTTAAATTTCAAAGTTTCAGTAAGCTTATTTCAGCACCGGTATCTATTAATAGATTGGCGAGATTATGTTTGTTAACTAGACAGGATAGGTAAGCTTGTTTGAGTTCACCTATCTCATGAGTACTATGAGGTTCTGATTTACTTGTACATGGACCAGTTCTTGATCATTGTGATTTACTTTATTTCGTACTGTGGCTACCTTTCTAAATAATTCCTATTATAATTACAAATAATTATTATATATAATATTCGAAGTAAATTTGCTGTTAGTTAAATGAAACACCACCTATATTACTTTTAGCATACATTTTTTTAATAAACATCATTATTCAAGCATATAATTAGCTGCATAATATTATTCTAAAATTAAATATCACAATATATAACAAATATATACATTACAAATAAATTATTACATTACATACATTATTCTAATTTTAATTACTTACGTTTTAACATCTAACATTCCACATAGCTGTATCACATATTCCCATTCAATTATTATTGCTCATTATTGAATGCTTTTATAAATCTAATTTAGAACTAATTGATGGACGATATTTTGGATCAAACCCTCTTTGGTCAACACAAATAAATTTTTCGGTGATCATGCACGTGAAGGATCCCACATATAGTCGCCTGTGCGAAAAACATTGATTTTCTAAATGAAGTCCACAAATGGACAATGTTTGTCCCTGAGCCTTATTGATAGTCATCGCAAATGCCAGTTGTATCGGAAATTGTAACCTGTTAAATGGTATCGTAAAATCTAAGGGTATAATATGAATCCGTGGTAAAACAACCACCTTTTTTTTTAAATTTCTCTGTCAAACTTGTTGCTTCTTTTATATTGCCCGTTATCTTCTTAACGACTAAACGTGTACCGTTGCATAACTTCGGCGGATTCAAATTACGCATCAGAATAATTGACGAACCAATTTTTAACCGTATCCCAGATACATCTATTGAATTTAGAAATTCCGTCGAACAATTCACACTTTCATTACCATCCACAGCTGTATCTATTGATTTAGAAGAAATAATATCGCCAGGTATTAACTGTTGTTCTAAAATTAATGTCGTCTGCGTCCATATTCCTTGCTGCTTATATCGCCCTTCTATCCAGCCAGTTATGATTCAAATAATTTATTTGTATATTGTGATAAATACTATTAATAAGCACGTTGTTTCCTGATAAATTGTGCAATTTTTTTCAGTTTTATTAATTCCGTTTTTGTTTCCTATTTTTTATATGAATTAGTTTTTCTGAAAAACTTTCGTGCTGATGAATCTTGCTCCAATCGCACACGCATGTTGATGGTCAATTTAAAATTGTCAACACTTTGCCACAAAAAGGATTGTTTCAAGCATACATTGATCTCATCCGCGAAAGTTGATCATCTGATAAAAGTAATAAAGCTCCACGAAAAATTTTATCGTTGCCTTTCAAATCTTGCATATTTCTATGATATGCAAAGAGTATTTATGTGCCTTTGTGCATTCATCCCTAATTATGATTGCACTGTTTTGCAATACAGAAGATATTCTTTTTTATAATACATGTCGCATTTTCTTTATTGTGTATGTCTGATGCTTGAATGTGGAATCTGCTATTCGCCCTCCATCTAGCAAAGTAGTCGCCATACCAAAAGCTCCTGCCAATGCTATTTTTTCCGATCTCACAAGAATCAATGATATGACAAGCATCTTACCTGTTCCTCCTGACGCGTCCAAGAAAAAGAAACCCTTCTGTTCTGCAGCAACGGTCAGCATAACCCTATCGTAAAAAGTTATCGTAGTTTTAAAAAAAAGTTAGTATCGTAATTTCTCATTGTTTTCCATAATACTTGTTAAATTTTGACTGGAGTAAAGAAATGTTGGTTGTATTATTTTTAATATATATTTATTGAGATGTTTGTACTTCGAAGGTTGATGAAGAAGAAAGTGAAACATTTTTTATACAATTTGCACATCGGCATATACAGGCTGAAGGTGGCACGTATATGCTACCAACCTATCAGCCATAACGCTCGTTGTTGACGGTTCACAACGAGCGCGCGAAACTTAAATTATAACTTTGAATGACAATTTTGTCCATGCTCCCGCGCGATGCGAAAGCATCACAAACTATAACAAAAATACAACAATGATAAATATTTACAACTGATTATTTCGTAAGATCTTATATCTAAACTAATTAAAACATAATCATCTTAATGCTAACAAAACAAACCTTGCAATATGAATAGTGGACTGTATAATGATACAATAAATGCATAATGATTAGCTGATCTTAATAAAAATAATTGTCTCAGTCTATAATAAAAACATATTCCTAACTTAATATTATTTCAAGGTAAAACATTTATATAAAATTGATAACATATTTCAATTATTCATTATACTTTAACAATAATTTGATAACTTTAATAATAAATTTTGAAAAGAAATACTAAAATATAACAGATTATAAAATGTATAGGCTAATGACAAGGTAGAGGGACGATCTTAGTAATTGAGCGGGTATAAACACTACTACTAGTCTTAATTCGAACTACTCTAACCTTGCCGTCAAGTCCAGAACTTGTACTTATTATACGGCCAATATGCCAATGCAGGAGGTGCATTGTCCTCTCTCAATAAAACTATCGTCTTTAATTCAATATTTGGTCGTTCTTTTGACCATTTTTGTCTTTTTTGTAGGTCTGATAAGTATTGTTTTGACCATAAAGACTAGAACTTATCTTTTATCTCTGCTATTTGCTTAAACAATTTAGTTGCCTTGACATTTGCAATATCGTTATATGGTTCTGGAAAAGATGTTAAGAGCTATCATCTGTGAGGGTAAGAAGTGGTCTCGAATTAAGTACAGCTTCGATCTGTAGCAATACGATAAGAGTATATGACACTCTTCAAACGTGAGACAGTGCGACCCCGATAACCCTACGAATGTGATGCTTCATCACTTTTATAGATCCCTCCCATAAACCACGTTATCCCCAACCGAGCAGACGACGAAATGATCTCTTGTTTGGACATCTCAGATTGAAACAATGTGGCTAATTGCCGCAACTCATTTTTGGCACCAACAAAGTTTCTCCCATTGTCACTATGAATCACGGAGCAACAACCACGTCGTGCAATAAAGCGTCGCAAAGCTGACATGAAGGCTTCTGTAGAAAGACTCGTCCCCAACTCAATATGAATTGCCTTAGTAGCCATACAGACGAACAAACAAATATATGCCTTAATGCGCGGAGCCTTTCTTAATCTACTAGACCTTAATTCAATTGGACCTGCAAAATCAACACCTACCACCTGAAATGGTCGATAGGCAGTGACTGGCTGCTCTGAATATAGCGCATTTCACACACCTATGAATGATTCGTTTTATTGTGTTTCGTCCGTCAATAGGCCAATACCTCAGTCTCATGTTCGCCAATATTGTTTGTGTGCCAGCATGCAATAATCTCTCATGTTCCGAGCGAGTCAGAAGGTTAGTCACTAAATGGTTTTTAGGCAATATTATGGGATGTTTCTGGTCATAACTTACGTCTGCGTTTTCCAATCTTCCACCTACTCTAAGCAAGCCTTCGGCATCCACAAAAGGATTCAATGACTTCAGCTTGCTGTAGTTGGTGTCAAGTTGGTTACCAGAATTTAACTGTTTAGCCAAATTGCCAAAAACCTCTCTTTGAGCTGAATAAACAATGCGCTTAGAGGCCCTTTCTATCTCGTCAACTGACAATGACCCTAAACGCCTGGAGCTCCTATCTAAACGACGCATTTCTGACTACCGAATCCAATAAGCAACCACCCTTACTACTTTATTGAAGGTAGAACATTTTTCTAAAACTAACTTCAAATGCTCATTATAAACAGTAACAGCCGTTGCTGTTAATACTCGGCGCTCTGGAATCTCTTCTGTGACAGTCTCAACAAACCTCTGAGGCCAATTAATGGGATCCTGCAACAACCAAGCTGTCCCATGCCACCAGAGATAATAACCAATTAATTCTGATGGTGTTTTTACACCTCTAGATACTATATCGGCCGCATTGTCTTTGCTGCAGTCATGTCTCCATACTATGCCTGGCGTGTGATCTAAAATTTCCGCAACCCTATTGCTCACAAACATTTTCAATAGGGAAGGATCCGTCTTCAACCAGGCAAGAACAATAGTTGAGTTACACCACAAGAAGGTCTTAGAGATTTTAATGTCCGATATTGTTGTTATCTGCTTATAAAGCTTTGCTAATAACAAAGCCGCATATAACTCCAACCTTGGCAGTGTGACATTTTTCAATGGTGCTACTTTTGATTTAGAGCACAGTAAATGCGATGACACCATTCTATCTGCATATGTTTCTCGAAGATATATACATGCCCCATATGCAAGCAACGAAGCGTCTGAAAACCCATGGCATTGTATATCCACAGGAACCGAATGGAACACACAACGCGGAATAGTCAGGTTATCAAGATCCGACAAATGATTTTTGAATAAATCCTACCTAACTTGCAGTTCTCGCGACAATGCTTCGTCCCATTCCAGATTATGCCTCCACAACTCCTGCATAATTAACTTGGCTGTAACGGTAACCGGAGATATGAGCCCAATTGGATCATAGATCTGTGCTATAGTTGATAGCACAGACCGCTTGGTGTCAACAATCTGCTGGGCCTCCGCAACCGAAACCTTAATATGTGAGTTCTTAAGAGAATCCTGTGAAGGATTCCATGCGAGGCCAAGGGTTTTGACTGTATCTCCTTCTGAAAACAGCTGAGCTTCTATTCTTTTTGATTATTGAACGGCACAGAAACTTTCATGTGCCGCATGCATAAACAAATTATAACCAAGTAAACACAGCACTGTTTTTACAGGCTTTAAATACCTCTCAGCGATCAAAAATTGCAAAACTATTCTTTGCACCAGTACTTATCCGTTACGATGGACCATTTATGGAGTAAAGAAAAGCTGGATGTATTATTTTTAATATATATTTATTGAGATGTATGTACTTCGAAGATTGATGAAGAAGAGAGTGGAACATTTCTTATACAATTTGCACATCGGCATATACAGGCTGAAGGTGCCGCGTATATGCTACCAACCTATCAGCCATAACGCTCGTTGTTGACAGTTCACAACGAGCGCGCGAAACTTAAATTATAACTTTGAATGACAAATTTGTCCATTGACAATAATATTTTTTTTCTCTTTCGAAATCGGTGTTGACGCAATCAGATAGTGGGCGATTAGGTAACTGCAATCCAAAAAGATCAAGTTTTAAATTTGAAATTTTAAGACAAATCTTCTAGCAACACTGATGCTTCATTATAAATCTCCGGTGTATAGTCTATGTTCTGGCCTTGATATATTTTTTTAAACGTATGTAAAATATTTTCCGACATATAGTTTTTCCACAAATTTTTTGCATGCGATGGATAGCGTTGTTAATATTATTGGAAATAGTTGCCGAATGTTATTGAGCGTTGACGTAACGAAGCATCAGGCTGAGTCAATCCCATTGGTTATCATCTTCCAATACTTGAATCTCACTGCATCCATCTCTATATGTATTGATTACTTGCCCATTAATTGTTCGCAAATATTCAAAAGAAGGAGCAATCGTAAATAAAAACATTCACTTTTGGTTCAGATATACCGTGTAAAATCTATCTCTTTGTTTTGAATACACTTGTGATGTTTTCATGTGGTTTATTATCTCTTTTTCTTTGTTCCCACTGTTTACAGCATTTGTTCCACGTAAAATAACGTGGAATATATCAATGGTAAATAACATATCAATATTATATATCGTTTATTGGCACAGATTAACAAATTCTGTTAACGTTATTCTTGGTCTCTCAATTGTTCTCTGTCGAAAATTTTCATTGTCACATTGTCCGTTTTCGAGATGAACTGCCAGATGCTGGACAGGCGAGTTTCTATCGTGATCGGGAAAATTGAAAATATGCCAAATAGCTGCGTTGCTGCTAATGCCTCTACCCATTTGATGTTGTGTTATTTCGTCATTTTTATTAATAGTTTGTTCGTATATGAATGTGGGCATGAGGCACGTTTTTGCCATTCAATCGAGTATAACCAACATCGCGTGATATCATAAACAGAATATTTAACGATAGAGTCAATTAATGATTTCAGTTACTGTCTAAACATTCTCACAGTTATGTCATGCTGATAATTAGTATGTTGTCCTTGTCATAGTAAGCTTTGTATCTCGTTCCAATTAGAATTACACGTGAACGAAATAAACAAATCCGGTCGTCCATAATAGCGTACATAAGTCATCGCATCTTGTATGTATTCCTGCATGTTCCGTTCATCTAACACGTATTTATTCATTAGCAAGCCGTAATCAATAATAATAAATAATATTTTAGGCAATGCACGTGGAGCATTGCATGTAATTTGCGGGATGAACTCTGTTACAAATCACGCATGTAGGTTTTTCTGAAGTCGTTTTGGTACATTCAAACTGCCTATGTTGGTTTTTACACTTGGCACATCTTAAGTCCATATTGCAGTAACCAGCCGTGTGTCCGAAGTTTTGACAAATGTAACATTGGATTACGTTACCGTTTAACTTGTAACGCTCACATTTAACCAAGAAAGTTAGAAGTTCTTTGTTTCGGATTATTTGCATGTTTGTTGTCTAATAATATGGCATAAACTGGAAGACTATCTATCCACTTTTGTCATTTTTATTACATGTTTTGCACGACAGTAATCATTTAAATATTCGGCCATGATTGTTTCGGGATCGGTATTTGGTGGTATGCCCGTGGCTACAATCTTCTGGAGTGTTTGGTCTTTATGAGAAAACGTGAAAAATTTTCTATTCGAATGTTTTTAGTTTATCATGCACAATTTTAAAGTCATGAATTTTGTTTGTTTGCACTATGTAATGGTTTTGGCATTTATGTATACGTCACACTTATGGTTTCTTTGCTTATATCACAAATACTTTTATAATCACTAAAATCGTCATTAACAACAATGTGTGGCATTTCTGAGGGTATAGGATCGCTTTCGCGCGTGTTCACTTCGTTTTTACTATTTTTAACACTTTGCTCATCATTTGTATCCGAATTTATACGGCGTCTTTTTGCATTCTCACTGTTTTCATCACACACACTATTTGTTTTATTATTTATATTGTCTTTGTTTAATATTTTAGCCACTTCTTAGCTCACGTTAGTACAAGCTAAGGGTTGTTATTAACACAAAAAATTTGCCTTTTGGAAACTCATCGTGTAGTTGTATTGTGGTTTTTCTCGAGCGCGTCGATGTCGATGGGTTGGCAGTCATTTCTTTAATAGTATTTATTTCATTTGCCCTTTTAGTCACTTTAATTTGAGAAGATTGTTTTTTAATTTTATTCACTAACATAGGCTTTTAATTCTGACTAATTCTTTCAAATCTGTCGCACATTATAGCAAAGTTTAAAGCTTTGTATCTTGGACAATATGGTTCACGTTTTATATGAAAAGTATTTTGTGAACTGCTTTTATACTCGATTCCAACATCTGAAATGTATCCCGCCCGGAGGAATGTCGCTAGTTATTGTGAATGTAGATACTTCATCTTCTATTTTTATAATATATTCTGGCATCGTATATTTCTTCTCATTATGTTGATCCATCGTAAACGATTTTAAATGCTGTGTAATCAGTCCGCATGAACACAGTACTCTTTTCAAATCACATTTTCATTTTCCGATATAAAATGGTTCTTTTAAGAGTCATTAATATTTATTACTACAAATTTTGGCGCACACATTTGGCGAATTTCTTGAGATTAACAATTAAAGATTTCAAGGAAATTTCAATTTCTGAGTAGGTGACAAACTTTATTCACAAAATGTCAAATTATACATTTTTAAATAAAAGAAATTTGAAACTAGTGGGGTGTATGGCATCGTGCCTTAAGGCAAATTGGTGGAACTTCCCGTACCATAACGAAATGTTCGAGAAATATTGAATGTTTTCAAATAGATTAGTATAAATATTGTAACATTGTCTAATATTTATAAGAATTATATAAACTGAATTGTAAAGATATACATATTTGTTTAAAGTACATTAGTACTTTAGTCAGAATTACGATTAAAATCTGAATTATTTTCGAAATACAAAAAAGAAATTTTTTTGAAGAAAAAAATTGAAAAAAAAATATTGAAACAAAAATTTTTTTTTCCAAAATCAATTATTTTGTTAAAACAAGCAGAAAGTTCTTTGAATCATTCAAATCGGACGCTTAGTTCTCTCAAAAACTGCCATTTTTTGCACATTTAGCTCTGTATCTCAGAAATGGTTAGTCCTGCCTTTGCCAAAAACTAATAACCACTTCTCCCAATCATTACTAATTGAATGTTGTTTAGATCATTCAAATCGGATGCTTCGTTCTCTCAAAAACTCGATTTTGGACTTTTTGCTCCGTATCTCCGAAACGGCTGGACCTGCCTTTGCCAAAAACTAATCAGCTCTTCTCCTTATCAATAGGAATCAAATGTTTTTTGAACCATTCAAATCGGTTGATCCGTGCGCCCGGAAACGTGACTGGAAATTTGTATCCATACATACACACACACACATCCATTTTTTCTGAGGTATGCCAAAATGTTCAGAAACCTTCAAAACGTCGAGAAATGTGAAAATTTTCAATTTCGATTTTCGGCCCATTACAATAACTTACCCTACGGGAAGTTAAAAATATATGAAAATATATCCTGAAAGATATTAACTGCTCAGTAAAATATATTACACTGAAATAATTTTTTAATCAATTGGTAGACTTTGCATAACAAACCACCACATAAAAAGCATATAAGGTGAATCGAGCAAATCGTTTGAAAGTGCCATTTTTTATATTAATTTAGAAATTTTTCGGATTATATTGAATCGGTTAGTTACATGTGCTAGTATTTGAACAAGTATAATTTTTTTTCATGAGTTTCTTGTTAGCGAAAATAAATCTATAACATGTGCGTTGGCAAATCAGTTAAAGTACAGTTTACCAAAGATTCAAATTGTATATTGTATTGTTAACGTTAAAGTTTTGGTAGTTTCCTTGAATAATGACTTTTCGAAAGTAATGTGTGTGTGGTCATTGAATACGTAAAATTTGTTAAAATATATTGGACTCGAATAGATATTTTATTTGTTGAATGCAAACAAATTTGAAAATGATATTAATAACAAGAGATGTTAGAATAATACATTGTGGTCAAACAAATTATAATGGACTAGTGAATTTGAAGTATTTGCACATACATAGTTGCAATATACGACAGCTATAAAAATAATCGTAGGCATAATTTTCTCGGTTTATTAACAATAACTTATGAATGATGGTTGATACTAACTAGTAACTACTGATAATATAATATAAAATTGAGATTTCATTGCAACCAGATAAAGAACAATTACTGGAAACAAGTATTACTGGAAGTGAAACAATCTCATTTTTAGGGAAATAGTGAGCAGAATGTTGAATTGGTATTGTAAGGACACACTTATTTCGATATGAATGACGACGATATGAATATGATTAAAAGCAAATGCTGCATAGTTTTGCTTCTACATGAATTAACATGAAAAATAAAATACTTCATGAAAGAAATTAAAATTGACTCAACACGTAAATGCGAGTTATTGCATTTTCTGTACTTTTCTGTATTTAGATATAAATATACATAATAATTACGATTCATATATCAAATGAAATATGATAAGGATTTCTATGGCTGAAGATCTTCAGATGTGTGTTTGTCTTATTGTTCACAAGTCACACAGAATTATATGCGACAATAGAGAAATTTGATTTACAATAATCATTGGCATGGGACACATTCAATGATATTGATATATTTAAAAAAAAACTGACACCACAATAAACAGCAATATCTTAAAGGCATTTGTCCTTCAATTATCTCTATACAAAATCAATCAGGAGGATGGTTCGGATTTGTTATCTATGGAAGAAATGTTTGTATCATATAATTTATTGAGAAACGAATATATATTAATACTACTTACAGAAATTTTTCTAAGTAGTGCAGATTCATTCGTTCAATTCAAAAGTGATCATGAAATAAATTTTGAACCTTCACCTGACTTATCTGATCTCTGGTCCAAGTTGATATCAATCTTCACCGAATTATTTGTATAATGACCGTAATTTTTATACATCTATCATAATTCATATAATTAATATATACATTGACATATGTCATGCAACATACATATTATATAAATAAAAAGTAAGATTTAGTGAGAGCGATGCGTACTCACTCAACGACATTTGAAATTGATGTCAAAAAGTTGGATGGATTTTTGCAACTATTAAGATATTCTTGGATGATAAAATTAATTCGAAATGCAATCAATTACATTTAACTGATTTTAAATATTCAATGAACAACACTCCATATAATGCGTAAGATATAATAGTATTTTATTCAGTTTTATCCAATATTTATAATTCAAAACTACCAACACTCAAAAACAAATCAACAATGCAAACAAATATACCATTTTCAATGTGGTAATATGAATGTAAAATTATATAAATCAATCACTATATTGCTATAATGATAATTACATCAAGGTATTTTTCCTTATAGTTATATTTTCGTATTTTTTCTTTCTGCTGTTATATTAAACATATGCATATTCAACGTCGCACAAGATTTATTTTTGACTATACAAGATACTGCACATTTAGTAATTTGTTAAATTCATATTTTTAACTTCCCGAAGGAAAAGTTTATGTTTTCATCAAAAAATTCGATTCGCTAATTTTAAGTTTTCTCGACGTTTCAAGCCATTCTGAATCGAATGAGACCAAATTTGGAAAAAGTATGTGTGTGTGTATGTGTGTGCGTGTGTTTGTGTGTATGTGAACAAATTTTTTGCTGTAAATCGACGTTTTCTCAAAAACGGCTGGACCGATTTCAAAAATTTAAAAGCTATTCGATGTATCTCGATGGGGAGTACAGTTTCTCAGTTTTGTGCAACGATCGGCCGAGCCGTTTCTTCGCAAATAGCAGAAAAGTGAAAAATTTTTTGTCCACGTTTTAGCCCGCAATTCTGAATCGATTTTGAAAATTCTAAAACCGTACGAAAGATATTGGTTGGGAATCGTGCTGATTAGTCAGATCGGCCGGGCCGCTTTCTTGTAATAAAGTGTTAAAAGTTTTTTTTCGACGATTTTTATAATTTTTTTTTACGTTAGATACCTTAATCTTTGTCTTATAGATCATACTAAAATATTACGACCCTACGACATACGTTTAATTTTAAAAATTCTTCAAAGTTTTTTTTGTCAAAAAAATTTGTCAAAAATAGACCTTTCATCGACGTTCGCTCGAGAACGCCTGAACCGATTTCAGAAATTTAAAAGCCATGAGGATTATCGTTTGTCAGTTCGTTTGATCGTTTTGCGACGATCGGCTGAGCCGTTTTTTTAGTAATTTGGAAAAAATAGTTAAACTTTTCGTCCACATTTAAACTCATACTACCGAATCGATTTTAAAAAATCGAACTGTGCGAAAGATATTAGTTGGGAATGATACTGATTAATTTTAGGTGAAAATCTACCGAGCCGTTTTCTTGTAAGTAATAGTTGAAAAAAAATTTAGGCCGATTCTTATGAAACTTTTTTTGATGACATATCATGGTCTTACAGAACTTATGGAAATATTACGGCCTTAAGACAAGTAGTCTCCTAAGTTAATTCCTCTATTACCTTTGGTATAAAAGAAACACACGAAGAAATTATATACAGAGTTTATTGAACACACAGAAATAGTAATTTTATATTTGCGAAGACTTGTTGTTTGTTAGGCGGCTTAGACAGAACAGGACGTGCTTGTGTAAAGCGTAGTGCAATCCTAGCTTAAGACACTCTCCTAGTAGTGGGGGAGGCCGTTACAGAGCGGCGCGAAATTTGAATACAAAATTTAATCGTCCATCCTCCCTGGCGATGCCAAGCATCCATATTTCTTAGAATGAATACTTTCCTTATAGGTCCATTTTTAACATCTAAACTGGCTTAAAGTATATAAGGTATAACAAAAAAAATATAATATTGTTTCAACATAGAAAACTGATATTTACATACATATTAGCTTAATCGATAAAATCTTAATGATAAAGTGGACTGTAATAAATGAAGTAATATTGTTTACAATCTAACATCCTTAAAATTACTTAAATAATTATTATAAATCAATTACAAAATAGGAATAACTACGTGTATGGAAATAAGTATGAGACAGTCGATAAATATGATGTGTAGTTAAATAACTTAAATTAATCATTAACAAATTGCTTAATTCTTAACATTGATATAATTATTATACATACATTGCATGGTAACTTAAGATATTTGAAGAATTAATTATTACAGTTTAATTAGTCGGCACAGGGTAATGGCACAATCTTTACAATTGGTCTAGTGTGATGACCAGTAGTGGTTTTTACTACAACCACCCTAACCTTTCCATCCTGACCTACTCTACATTCTGTTACCCGACCTAATGGCCATTGTAAAGGAGGAGTGTTATCCTCTTTTATCAAAACAATGTCATTAACGTTAATATTAGCTTGGGAAATTGTCCATTTGTTTCTGCCATCTCAACTATTGTTTAAATATTGAGTAGACCAAATCTTCCAAAATCGGTCTCTCATTGAAGTCATTTGCTTAAAAACCTTACTGTGGTTAACTTAAAAGCTAAAAGTGGCCTTGAATTCAAGACTGCCTCAATCAGAGTGAGGACCGTGAGATACTCTTCATATGTCAGACAGTACGACCCTATCACTCTACGAATATGGTGCTTCATGGTGCGATTATGTACTCAAGAATTAAATCAGTTCGATTTAATTTAACTGCGAAATCTTTTTTTTAAGTAATCCAAATGCACGTTCAATTGCTATACGTGCAGATGAATGACAAAAATTATAATTTTTTTGTCTTGCTGATAAGTGCCCATTATCTCGATATGGTGTAAGTAAATGTTTGTGAAGAGGGTAAGCTGCATCGCCGACTAAATGAGATTCGTTCGGGAATTTATGTTCATCGTTGAGGTAATCATTCACTTCTGACAGACGTAATACCCGTGCGTCATGTACAGAACCAACTATTCCAGCATAACAATGAATAAATTTACATCGAGCATCACAAATAGCCTATTTTTGAACAAAACAGTAAAAATGAAATTTACAAATGTTGTTAATTCACATGACTGCTTACTTACTTGTAATTGAATTGAATGATGTCTTTTTCTGTTGACATAAC